AGCAGACGGTCTCTCCTCATGGCGGTGTGGCTGCTTTCGGCCCTTGTGTCATCTCTTTGTCTTTGTTAAGATGAAGACTGATGTTCTCTTGTTCTGCTCACGCTTTCATTAGTGACTGAACCGATCACAAAAGTCATGATTCACATTTTGAATCTCATCACACAAGTGCACATACACATATGCAGTATGTGTGTGACCATGGACCACAAAACAAAACATGAACGTCAATTTTTGGAAATTTAGATTCATAACTATGGTTGTGTATGGTTTGAGGACTTGTTTTCAGCTGTTTGTGTAAAGTTGTAGGACATTTAAACTTGCTTTCAGTTGTGTATAAGACTAGAAGTGTTTAGCCACTGTTTCCTTGGTTACTATAAGAGCTTGTGTAGCGAACGCAGACAGTTTCGCGTCGTCCACCTCAGTTTCGGCCCTTGTTTTGACTCTCGAGGCGTGTCCAGCTGAATTCAATCAGCTAGTGCTTTGGGGTTATATAAACAACTAGTTAACCGGTTAAGCGGTCGCGGCAGCCTCGTGTGAAGACCGACGAGTGTAAAGAACCTGCGCGACTCCACCGAGCAAAGACACAGACAAAGCACTTGAGTACTTTACTTTCTTGTTTTACTTTATCTTTACACTTATTTTTTTTTTTTTTTGTTGTCAGTGCACTTTTATTATGTGTTTTCTAATTGCTGTTGTTACTAACACTCGCAAAACACGGGAGGTACGCTGCAGGCGTAATCCTCACAACCTTCGTTCAATACATGTATCTACTATTTCACAACTCTCTCTCTCCGTGGGCCTCTGGAATTGTCAATCAGCTGTTAACAAGGCAGATTTTATTACCTCCATAGCTACATATTCTGACTATAATCTCATGGCTCTAACTGAGACCTGGTTGAGGCCGGAGGACACCGCTACACATGCTACTCTTTCTGCTAATTTCTCTTTTTCCCACACTCCTCGTCACACAGGGAGAGGGGGTGGGACTGGACTACTAATTTCCAAAGAATGGAAATTTACTCTAATACCGTCCCTGCCAACAATCAGCTCCTTTGAATTCCATGCAGTCACCATTATCCACCCCTTCTACATAAATGTGGTTGTCATCTACCGCCCACCAGGTAAATTAGGTCACTTCCTAGATGAACTGGATGTTCTTCTCTCATCTTTTTCTAATTTTGCCACTCCCTTGTTGGTGCTAGGTGACTTTAACATTTACGTTGACAAACCGCAAGCTGCAGACTTTCAGACTCTGCTTGCCTCTTTTGACCTAAAAAGAGCACCTACCTCTGCTACCCACAAATCAGGTAATCAGCTAGACCTTATTTACACACGACACTGCTTCACTGATCAAACAATAGTAACTCCACTACAAATATCTGATTATTTCCTTCTGTCTCTCAACATCCACATTACTCCTGAGCCGCCACACACTCCAACACTGGTTACCTTTCGCAGAAACCTACGATCTCTCTCACCCAATAGACTATCCACCATTGTTTCAGACTCTCTTCCCCCATCTCGCAAACTCACTGCACTTGATTCGAACAGTGCCACTATTACACTCTGCTCCACACTAGCATCATGTCTAGACCGATTATGTCCTCTTGCATCCAGGCCAGCCCGTGCCAGTCCTCCTGCACCCTGGCTCTCGGATGAAAACTTCGGGCTGCAGAGAGAATTTGGCGGAAAACTAAAAATCCTGCACAGCTCTTAACATACCAAACTCTTCTGTCCTCTTTCTCAGCTGAGGTTACTTCTGCAAAGCAGACATATTACCGTCTGAAAATCAACAATGCCACTAATCCTCGCCTACTTTTTAAAACATTTTCCTCCCTCCTCTATCCTCCTCCTCCACCCGCATCCTCCACACTTACTACTGATGACTTTGCTACATTCTTTTGCACCAAAACTGCAAAAATCAGTGCTCAATTTGCTGCACCTACAACAAACACGCAAGATACAACACCAACACCACACACACTCACCTCTTTTTCTCAGCTCTCTGAGTCTGAGTTGTCCAAACTCGTGCTATCTAGCCATGCAACCACCTGTCCACTCGATCCCATTCCCTCTCATCTCTTACAAGCCATCTCTCCTACAGTCATACCAACACTGACTCACATAATTAACACATCTCTTGACTCTGGTTTATTCCCCACTTCATTTAAGCAAGCTAGGGTAACCCCACTGCTAAAGAAACCCAACCTGGACCATACGCTACTTGAAAACTACAGACCAGTATCCCTGCTTCCATTCATGGCCAAGATTCTGGAGAAAGTAGTGTTCAATCAAGTCCTGGACTTTCTTACTCAAAACAATCTCATGGACAACAAGCAATCCGGCTTTAAGAAAGGCCACTCAACTGAGACTGCCCTGCTCTCGGTCGTGGAGGATCTCAGACTGGCTAAAGCAGACTCTAAATCATCAGTCCTCATTTTGCTGGACTTGTCAGCTGCTTTTGACACTGTCAACCACCAGATCCTGCTATCTACGCTCGAGTCACTGGGCGTTGCGGGCACTGTTATACAATGGTTCAGATCTTACCTCTCTGACAGGTCATTCAGGGTGTCTTGGAGGGGAGAGGTGTCCAACCTACAGCATCTAAACACTGGGGTACCTCAAGGCTCTGTTCTTGGGCCACTTCTCTTCTCCATCTACACATCATCTCTAGGACCAGTCATTCAGAGACATGGATTCTCCTACCACTGCTATGCTGATGATACCCAGCTATACCTCTCTTTTCATCTTGATGATCCCTCAATTCCAGCTTGTATCTCAGCCTGCCTGTTGGATATTTCACACTGGATGAAAGATCATCATCTTCAGCTGAACCTCGCAAAAACGGAAATGCTTGTAGTTTCTGCCAACTCGACTCTACACCATAACTTTTCAATCCAGATGAATGGGGCAACCATTACTGCATCCAAAATGGTGAAAAGCCTTGGAGTAACGATTGATGACCAACTAAACTTCTCTGACCACATTTCTAGAACTGCTCGATCGTGCAGATTCGCACTCTATAACATCAGAAAGATCCGACCCTTCTTATCTGAACATGCAGCTCAACACCTTGTTCAAGCTCTTGTTCTCTCCAAACTGGATTACTGCAACTCTCTACTAGCTGGGCTTCCAGCTAACTCTGTCAAGCCTCTTCAACTGCTCCAGAATGCAGCAGCACGAGTTGTCTTCAATGAACCTAAACGAGCACATGTCACTCCGCTGCTAGTCCGTTTGCACTGGCTGCCAGTTGCTGCTCGCATCAAATTCAAAGCTCTGATGTTTGCCTACAAAGTGACTTCTGGCCTAGCACCTTCTTATCTGCTCTCACTTCTGCAGATCTGTGTGCCCTCCAGAAACTTGCGTTCTGTGAATGAACGTCGCCTCGTGGTTTCATCCCAAAGAGGGAAGAAATCACTTTCGCGAACGCTCACGCTCAATCTGCCCAGTTGGTGGAATAAACTCCCTAACTGCATCAGAACAGCAGAGTCACTCGCTACTTTCAAGAAACGACTAAAAACTCAACTGTTTAGTCTCCACTTCACTTCCTAATCTGCAATTGCCTCTTTGAATATCACACTAACTGTACAAAAAAAAAAAAACTAATACTACTAATACTTCCCTTCTTAGACTTTACAGACCTGAAACTTGCCTTTAGTACTTATTCATTGTTGCTCTTAGTTGTGTAAATTGCTTCCTTGTCCTCATTTGTAAGTCGCTTTGGATAAAAGCGTCTGCTAAATGACTAAATGTAAATGTAAATAACTCACCTGAATGTGGAATAAATAAGATTTTTTATCGATTTACTAATCAAACATTAAACATTGATACATCTATAGCAGGAAATTACAAAATAAATTGATGAAACATTTAACTTTAGATGCACATGATCTTAGTTGCCTTAAGAAAAAGAGCCTTCTTGACCAGGCTGGAAATGTTGGTGGCCAAGGACAGGTGCTTTGAGATGTGGGTACCCAGGAACTTAAAGGATGGGACAGGCTCAACGGCCATACCATTGATGTGAATCGATCATATGAGCCTGTTCGTCCCTTCCTGACATATTTGTGCAACAAGATTTTTGTGTTCAAGATGTTTTTGGGGTTGCACACAAACAAACATATATCAATTTCCTTCCAAGAACACATGATCAGAAATCAGGCCCGATCACGCGATCTCGATCGGAATCAGACATTACCTCCCGATCAAAGGTGTATATATATATATATATATATATATATATATATATATATATATATATATATATATATATATATATATATAGTGCTGTCAAAATTAGTGCGTTAACGCATGCGGATAAAAAAAATAATAATTTTACGCAATTAACGCAGGTGCAGTTTTTTTTTTGTTATTTCCTGTTGTGGTCGACGTGTGTTTAACGTGCAAAGAAATTTGAATAAGACCAAGGAAGCGCTTTTTGAAGGCAAGTTTCAGTATAAAACAATTAATGTTTAATGTCTGTTTTAATGGAATTTGATACCGCATGGCGAACGGAAGGAAAAACCTTCCCATTTCGTGACTCGGTGGTCCTTTAAGGTATTAAAAAAATCGCTGCTTGCATAGTAGACTGTTAATAAGAGTATTATCCTAATCATATTAAAATCATAGTTTTGGTGTCTTATGTAAATGTACTCAGAAAATGACAGATGATGTCGCGAGCTGTCAGAGAGCGCATTCCTCTGCCTTTCAGCATGCTTCCCTCAAATGAGTATATGTGTATGTGTTTGTGTGTGTGTGTGTGTGTGTGTGTGTGTGTGTGTATATGTAATTTTCTTTTTAATTCAAAGGGCGTTTTAAAATTCCATAAATTGCAGTGTTTTTGCATCTTGGGTTTAATCTCAGCGATTATAGGATTAGTTCAAAATAATACTAATAATAACAATAAAACAGTCAACAATTTTTCTTCCCAAAAAGCATACATACTTAAAGCACATCCTGGATTGAATGATGTTTTGTCAAATAAATGAAACCTGAAAACCACATGTTCTTACAGACAGCAAATTTTATTTGAAATGCCTAGAGACTAATGTATATAAAAGGAAAAAAAAGTACTATTATAAAAGAAAGATGGCAGTTTTTTGATTATTACTATTATTAAAAAAAGAAATTTTAATACAGACATTGCTGAAATAATCTGAAAACCAGCAAGAGCCAGTATGGGATGAATGATTCATGAAGGCACTATTTAAAGTACAACTAATGTTGGTTTGAGCCTTTCTTTCGTATCTTTAACCCATCGAACAGGGTAGTAGTCTGATGTAGTTATATTAAGCCAATACTACTACGCTTCAAAGTAATACAGTTCCTGTTGTTACGATTCCAAAAACACAATCAAAAAGGCCAGATCTAATGGTCTTTGACCTGGTCAAAATATTCTCTGTACTGGAAAGTTTGTCTTAGATATCAATGTTCCCACTGCTTCGTTATTTTAGTCTTCAAAACGTGATAAAAAATGAAAACGAGAATAGAAAAAGCAAGCACCAGTGGAATCCCCCCTCTCCCCCCACCAAAAAAAAAAAAAGATGTGTATTTTCTAAATAACTATTTTCAAGACTTTGAATTTCTTACAACCATTTGGTCCAAATACATAAAATATACATACAATTTGTACATATATGAAATCTGTGTTTTTTTGAGTGTGTGTTTATGTGTGTGTGTGCGTGTGTGCATGTGTTTAAACCACTTTCTATCTTCTGGCTACAATACCTTTACTAAAGTCTGCAAACACTGTTCATGGCATTCAATTAAAAATGAATATACACAATGCAAGAAAGTGTTAAGAATTCACAAAACCACATTTAGTAGTAAAATAAAGAAGTGCTCGTAATGTACCAAATGTCTGGTACAAAAAGCACTATCCTTTTGACCCTGTTCAAAATTGAATTTTTACAACAGTGATTGGTGGCCAAAGAGGTCCTGTCGTGATCTTTTGGAAGGCATGATAAATTGTGATTTTTTTATTGATGTCACAAGTTCATTAAAAAGACAATGGACTTAAGAGTTCCTTGATACCAGAGTTCACAGTAAGTTCCTTCAAAAAAAACAAAAAAAAAACAAAAAACGTGTTCCAAAATCCTCAAGTGCAGGACTTTCAGGCATCTTTGTACTTTTCCATGTGAACGTGACATGATAGCACTTGAACGGGCCGGACGATACTTGGACTATGCCAATGTCTGCACTAGTTTACTTTTGGATAGATTTTCTCATAAAAAAAGTTCTGAGAAAGCAGGTAAAGCTCGCCGTCTTTTTCTCTGACACTGTGAGCTCGCACAAACTGAAACTGTTCCAGAGCAAACTCATAGAACTCGTTCTCCATCTTCCAGATGTTGGACTGCTGAAGCTTCGAGATGGACTCTTTAGTGGGAGGCTTCTTTTCACTCGTTTTCCTCAAGTGAGACTTCTTACCTGCACATATACACATACAGTAATGTGAAAAAATTTAGGACACCCTTTGAAATTCCAATTATTCCAAATCAAGACATAAAATTTAACTTTGGGTCTTAAAATTTGAAAAAAAAAACCTCAAAGATGATAAACAACATTTATAAACCACACAAACTATAAAGACATTCATAATATTCCAGAAAAAGTGTCCATCATGGATGCACATTTTTTAAAATAGGCACTATACCTACAGTATTGTTCAAAATAATAGCAGTACAATGTGACTAACCAGAATTAACCAGGTTTTTAGTTTATTTTTTATTGATACATGGCAAACAAGTTACCAGTAGGTGCAGTAGATTCTCAGAAAATAAACAAGACCCAGCATTCATGATATGCACACACTTAGGGCTGTAAAATTGGGCAATTAGTTGAAAAGGGTGTGTTAAAAAAAAGCAGTGTGGCAGTCAATCAGTGAGGTCATTAATTTGTGATCTTGTTGAACATGCGTTTCAAAGCCTGAGGCAATTGGGTCGTTTAAGACATTGTTCATAAGAACAGCGTACTTTGATTGAAAAGTTGATTGGAGAGGGGAAACCTATATAGAGGTGCAAAAATATCGGCTGTTCACTTAAAATGATCTCCAATGCCTTAAAATGGAGGGCAAAACCATAGAGACGTGGAAGAAAATGGAACACAACCAATAAAATGGATCGAAGAGTAACCAGAATGGCAAAGGCTCAGCCAATGATCAGCTGCAGGATGATCAAAGACAATCTGAAGTTACCTGTAAGTACTGTGACAGTTAAAAGACATCTGTGTAAAGCTAATCTATTTTCAAGAACTGGCCTAAAGAGAAATGGAAGAACTGATATATATATATATATATATATATATATATATATATATATATATATATATATATATACAGTTGAAGACAAAATTATTAGCCCCCTATAAAATATTTCATTATTTTTCAAATAACTCCCAAGTGCTGTTTAATGGATTAAAGATTTTTTCAACACATTATTTTTAAACGTAACAATTTATTCAGGAAGCTTTGAGTGTTTGTAATACAAACAGAAATACAATTATAATCAAAAATAAAAAAAGCTTGGAGGTCAAAATTATTAGCCCTCTGATGTTAATAGTCAAAAGTGTAACCCTTTTGCTTGATAACAGCCATCAGTCGTTTATTGTAGCTCTCAACAAGTTTCAAGCATGTCTCCTGAGGAGTGTTAGCCCATTCTTCCTTAGCAAATCTCTCAAGCTCTTCCAGATTTGTTGGTCTTCTGGCATGAACTCTAGACTTCAGTGTCCCCCACAGATTTTCTATTGGATTCAAGTCTGGGCTTTGTGCAGGCCAGTCAAGGACTTTCACTTTGTTCTGTTGAAGGTAGTTCTTTACCAGAAGTGAGGTATGCTTTGGGTCATTATCATGCTGGAATACAAAACGTCGACCCAAACCAAGTTTAGTTGCAGACTATTTGAGGTTATTTTTCAAAATCTTCTGGTAGTCTTCCTTTTTCATGTTTCCTTTAACCCTGATAAGATTCCCAGTTCCACATGCACTGAAACATCCCCATGGCATTATACTCCCACCGCCATGTTTCACTGTGGGAACGGTGTTCTTTTGGATTAAATGCCTCTCCCTTCTTCCTCCAAACATAGGCAACATCTCTATGGCCAAAGAGCTCTAGTTTTGTCTCATCTGACCAAAGGATACGTTTCCAGTATTCATTATTTTTCTCTAGATTGCCCCTGGCAAACTTCAGTCTAGCTTGGAGGTGTCTCTTTTTTAAAAGTGGAGTCTTTCTTGGTCGACAACCTTTCAGTTCACTCCTGTGCAGGGCTCTAGTGACCGTCTTTGCTGAGACATTAATTCCAGACTTGGCTAAGTCATTCACTAGTGTCTTGGCAGTTGTTCTTGGGTCTTTAGAAACCTCTCTAACTAATTTTCTTTCCAAAGTTTTGGAAATCTTTCGCTTTCTACCCTTGCCAGTCATGTTCTCCACAGTGTGGATCTCATTAAACTTCTTGATAATACTTCTCACGGCACTTCTTGACACTTGAAAACGCTTTGATAAACATGTATATCCTTCTCCTTCTTTGTGAGCCTCAACAATTCTTTTTCTCAAGTCTAAACTTATTTCTTTTGTCTTTGTCATGATGACAGAATGCATTATCGTACTATTTGTTTTTCAAGAACCCAGTTTTAAGCTTTAAGTGCAATTTAAAGGCTTAATTAGGTTAATTACCTTAACTAGGCAAGTTAGGGTAGTTAGGCAAGTCATTGGACAACAGTAGTTTTTTCCTGGAGCCAATCAAACAAATAATTACTTAAGAGGGCTAAAAATATTGACCTTAGCAGTTTTTACTTAAAAAAAAATATATATATATATATATTTCACCCAAACTAAAAGAAAAAAAAACCTTTTCCAGAAGAAAAATACAAAAAGAAATGCCGTGAAAACAATTTTCTTGCTCTGTTCAACAGCACTTGTGAAATATTTGTAAAAGAATACAAATTTTATAGGAGGGCTAATAATTTTGACTTCAACTGTAAATATACATACAGTATATATACATATATATATATATATATATATATATATATATATATATATATATATATATATATATGCATATATATATATATATATATATATATATATATATATATATATATATATATGTATATGTATATATATGTATATATATATATATATATAGTTTTTTTTTAAATAATAAATTAATTAAATAATATATAAAATCTGGTAAGTGAAACATATATATGTACCCTATAATGAATGAATGTCATTTTAATTAATTTATTTTTTATTTAAAAATGTGTGTATTAGTTTTTTTATTTATTAAATAATGTCTTTTCAATTCAGGCCACTTAATTTATTTAGGGCTAGCAAAAGCTGAAAACTACCTGCCTGAAAGGCTATTAAGGAGTCCTTTGTTCAGTTATATTTCACCAGAGTCAACTCTCGGTTCTCATTTATCATGGTTTCCACAAAAGTATCAAGTAATATTGATGAATATTATGTTATTATCAAATCAGCATATTTAAATGACTTCTAATGAAATAAAAACATTACCTGTGCGGTAGAGCTCAGTTGCTCCTCTGAAAAAGCGTGGCAGAGCAGCTTCCAGCATCATGATGAAATCCTCCAGCTCCTCAGTCACTCCAACCAGCAGATACTCGTTCACCAGATTATACTTAGCCTGTTCCAGAGCCCACTTGCTGCCAACATTCCTGCACAAACACACACACATATAATTTCCAGCTCTTAAAATTTTTAAGAACAAATCAGTATATAGCGTAACCCAATCAATGAGTCTAACGAGAAAAGCCTCAAGTTAAAAACAGTTTGCAGACGGTGTATTTTACCCACCAGCACTCAGAGTAATGGCCACAGAAGAAGGGGATCTGTAACCAAAGCTTCTCAGGAGCACAATCTGAGCCTCCAGATGACACACACTCATCAAATGTCTAAAACACAGATACATACTTCATTGCACACATTTAATCATGAATGTGGTCAGAATCAGACACATTTAATCAGAATGTAAGTTGTTATTTTTTACATTGGAGGCTTTGTGAAATTTTGAAAGAGAAATATCAAATATTTATACACACCTTTTTGTCTCCTTGCTTTCTCCGTCGGAGACCTGGTCGATAGTCATCTCCAAATCGAAGGAAATAGTAGTAGGACACCAATCTTTCAATGGGATCCCGTACGATGTTGATGTATACTGGCTTCCCCTTTACTCCAAACCTACAGTATTTAGGGAACAATGGCGATAGTTTTATGATATTATATTATATTATATTATTAAACAACAATGTAAAGGTATTTATTACTAACTAATGAATTGTTTGTCAATAAAAAATGTGATTATTAGAATAACAATCTGAAAGAGTAGTTTTTGCCTTATCTTTTGCTTTAATGACAAATGAGAAGAATAAACTCTGCAAAGGTGTCATTAATACATTAAACGTAATAATCATTTTAAAATCCTTGTAATTTTGTTTTCAAGAGGTGCTTAACCATTCGAAATATGTGTTTCTTGAACAACATAGCCACATGAGTTTCAAATAATTGTAAAGTATTCAGTGTGATTTCAAGACTAAATAAATAAATATTAGAATAAGTGCATGTTCAATTTTAACCACCAGTTTGGAGCAGTTGTGAATAACATTTTAATATTATTCTAATGTCAACAGAAAATAAATTTTTTGTTAATTATTTTATATTATTTTCTTAAATAGTCATTATTATTATTATTATTAATTCTATTTTGCACAAAAAAACCCTTTTTGCATTTTCAAGAAAAAAACTATTATTATTCAAAACCAAAATCTTTAATCAAAAGGTTTTTTGATAATAACACATCAATTTATCTCAAAAAAAGATAAATGTATTTACAGATATTTTGTATTTACACGTTGTCCCAACACAAATACATTAAGGTAACTTAATCACTTTTACAAATTTAAGTGGATTAGACATAAAACAATTGAAAAAAAACTTAATTATGTTGCTTCAACTCAATTTAAATAGGTAGTTTGAACAAGCAGCAAGTCATTTTTGAGTGACTTAAGGTATGTTCCATTATCAACCACTAGAGTGCAGAAGCACTTAAAAAGTTAAGCATCTGCCTGATACCGTGAATTTACTCTCCAATGACTAGAGTCATAATCACTACACTCAAGTGCAGCACAAGTGCTTCCACTTTTTAGTGTCAACTTTTGCATAAATACAGCAGAACTCACTTTGTGAAATCTAGGTAGGAGACATGGCCGTGGTAGAACCCTGGCTTCATTTCTCGCCAGGATGTCACGTTCCTTACAAACCTCATCTGTAAGCACAAGATAACGCATTCGATTAGTACACCAAAAGTATTTTAATAACACATGATATGCTGCCATCATTCAAGCATCAACAATATTCACAATATCTCAAATAACAATCTGGCCCTGATGTGCTGCATCTGTCACAGCCTGCTAAACAAACCAGTCGTGTGGCCACTCACTCCACACCTGACAAAATAACATTTCTGCTGTGTTTTCTCCAGACTTCCTCACAGCTGTACTCCTCTGGGAGGGAAAGGTTGTACCATCTGCACCATCGACATTTTTTCAATGAAAGCCAGACCGGATATTACCCTGGTACAAATCACACTCGTATCATAACTGTGCATCTGCAGTGAGCTTTTTGTATATGACGGAAGATGAATACAAATGCAAAAGTAATCTCATCACTCCATGTCCTGATTTTGCAGAATGAGTTTAGTCATTCTGGAACATAATTTCTGTCCGAAAATATAATCCAAACTAAATCCTTACCAATACCCTATTCTTAAAATCAGAGGGAAATAGTAGGTGAATGATGTAGAAGCACTAATCTCTGATTTTAAGTCTAAATGAATCAAACTATAAACTTGTTCCTTAAATCTATTAACTGTGATTCCAGGAACAATCAAAGAGGCTGATCTATCATTCAGGCACACGTTGCACGTGGTAACAATCAGGTACTGCTTTGTTTGCAATTTCTAAAATAAACTTATTTTTGTAAAAATATTCTGTGGAAATTGGCCTGTTAAATTTCGTATTGCCTGTTAAATTTCGTATTGAATTTAAAATATTACTTCTCACCTATAAAGCTCTAAATAATCTAGCTCCTGTTTATCTAACCAACCTTCTGTCTCGCTACGAACCAACTCGCTCCTTAAGATCTCAAAATTCAGGGCTTCTGGTAGTACCTAGAATAGCAAAATCAAGTAAAGGAGGTCGAGCCTTCTCTTTCATGGCTCCTACACTCTGGAATAGCCTTCCTGATAACGTCCGAGGCTCAGACACACTCTCCCAGTTCAAAACTAGATTAAAGACCTATCTGTTTAGTAAAGCATACACTCAATGCATCACCTAGCGGGTTCCACACTGGCTTCTGCATCTTGCTTATATACACTATGAACAGCAGCTACGCTAATTATTCTCTTTATTCTCTATTTTCACCTGGGGATACTCATCCCGAGGTCCTCAGATTAGGCGGAGTCACTGATTGGATCCAAGACCAGCGACGTGATGATCCCAAGGATTCCATATCCGGGACCAGGCCATATCCTGAGCTGCTGCTGCGCTGATGGTCGTGGGGAGTGGAGAACATGTGTCTGATTCCAGCGACGCTCCAGGGACAGACGAGTCTTCATTGAGGCCATCTTCCAGCATAAACCGCGGCGAATGAAGTTCTGCACAAGACTTTTGGCCAGCGGAGAAATTAAAATGGTCGTGCCCAACTGAGTCTGGTTCTCTCAAGGTTTTTTTTCTTCACTCCCATCAGGTGAAGTTTTTTTTCCCTCTCCGCTGTCGCCACTGCCTCGCATGGTTCAGGACTGGTAGAGCTACGCATCGATGAATTTGCTCTTCAGTGTTTGAACTCTCAGTAATGATTAAATCACACTGAACTGAGCTAAACTGAACTGAACTGAACTTAAACACTAAAACCTGAACCACACTGTTCCAGTTACTGAACCACACTGTTCCAGTTACTATGACCATTTATGTGAAGCTGCTTTGACACAATCTACATTGTAAAAGCGCTATACAAATAAAGCTGAATTGAATTGAATTGAATTGAATTGAAATTATAATAATTTTACAGTGCATGTGACATTAATTACCAATCAGGCGTGCACATACATTATTTAGATATAAATAGTACCTAGACAATTAACTCAATCAAAAAGTTTTTGTTTTGTTTTGTTTGTAATAAGTATTGTCTTGTATTAAAAAAAACAGTTCACTCTAAAATGAATATTACCTCACTATTTACTCCCCATCAAGTGGTTCTAAACCATTAGGAGTTCCTTCATGCTGTTGCACAAAAAAGAAGATAGTTTGAAGAAAGTTGCGTTACTTAGTTTTTGTAGTAAGTAATGTGTTACGGTACTTTTGAGTTACTTTTGCATTACTTTTTATCACCTGGCTAAGGCTTGATCTATTTCAGAACCTGTATTTTTAATAGAGGAGTTCTGCAATTAACAACACATTGCATAACCTTCATTTACCATTAAAAAACACATCAAAACATATATTTTATAGGATAATGTTATCTTAGGAATTTCCGACCCCAGAGCTATACATGGCGTATATTCAGATTAATGGAAGTTTTAAACAATGTGTTTGCTACTTTGTGCTATTTTCTAAAGTAAAATCATTGTCCATTGAGACGATCCCCTTTTCCTTGATGCGTTCAACATAATGAATACATTCTCTCGTTGGCTGCCTGATTCATTGTGAACACTTTAATTTTAATATAGCATTTTTTTAAACTAAAAATTAACTCGCATTACATTTTCAAAAAAGTAACTTAAATATTATTACATACGTTTAATGCACATTACTACACCTCATTTTAGTAATGCGTTACTTTACTTGTTAATTACTAAAGTAATATTAAGCAACTCCCATTACCCACAACACTGATAACCATTGACTTCCATAGTAAAAAAATAAATAAAAATACTATGGAAGACAATGGTTAGGTGTCTAGCTAACATACAAAATATTATATTTTGTGTTCAACAAAGAAAAGAAACTCATAAACAACTCTGACTTTGCTTAGACAAAAATCTTGTCACTTAAGAGAAATAATGCACAGTATAGAATATAAAGTCAAAGTATTAATATTGTGTATGACTCCCATAAACCTGGATGACTGCATCCATCCATCTCTGCAATGACTTAAATAACTTATTAATAAAGTCATCAGGCAAAGAAAGCGTGCTTGCAGGAATCCTATCACAGGACTTCTTCAAGATTCTTTGGATTCATCTTCAATGTCACCTCCTCCATCTGACTCCAAACATGCTTAATAATGTTCATATCTGGTGACTGTTCTGGACAATCCTGGAGCACCTTGAGCTTTTTTGCTTTCAGGAAATTTGATGCGGAGGCTGAAGTGAGAGCCCTAACCTGCTAAAAAAATTACCTTTTTCCTGTGGTTTGTAATGCAATGGGCACAAATGTCTTGATACCTCAGGCTGTTGATGTTGCCATCCACTCTGCAGATCTCCCAAATGCCCTCATACTGAATGTAACCCCAAACCATTATTTTTCTTTCACCAAACTTGACTGAGTTCTGTCAGAATCTTGAGTCCATGTGGGTTCCAATAAGTCTTCTTCAAGATTTGTGATGATTGAAGTGCAGTTCAACAGATGATTTCATGCTCGAGTGACGTCACTGACGTCACTGTCTCCGTTCGGTCGCCTACTGCGTATGCTTGAAGTTTGGACTCGCTATTTACTCGCTATTTATATCTTAATCATGAAATTCTTCCTCATTCGCTAAGTATTTGTCTCTCCCACTTGGGTGAACAAACCCTTAATACATTTATACAAACAAATCTGCTTAAAACGGTCTGTCCCTCGAGCAACCGCCTGTTGTTTGTAGCTTTAGCCTGCTAGCACCGCTGGTCAGCTAAAGCTACCAACCTCTTTTACCATACACTTTTGGCTTACTGGCCTTGCTCTTTACCCCGTAAAATGTCACTTGTGTCTCTGTCATTGTGTGCAGGAGAAGCATCAATGGAGGCGTTTGAGCTGGAGCTGGAAGAAGTGGAGTCCCAGATCCGTGCGCTTACGGTGAGGCGGACGCGGCTGCAGAAACAACGGGCGTTGCTTGTTGTGCCTAACGCTAAGGCCGCCTCGTCATATAAGGTAAGTGGAAATTACAACCACATCACTCCCTCTACCTCAACCCCGCGTCCTTCTCTGTCCAGGTCCAGCGCACCCGGAGCGCGGCTCGGATAGGCGTCCTTCACGCCAACACCTGGGTGCAGCCGCGTAAGGTACTTGCCAGATCCCAGGGCAGAATGTCTCCTCCTCCCGTGTTCGAAATCTCCACGGAGAACCGCTTCTCCCCTCTTCGCGAGACGGGTCCCGATGTGGCCATCATCGGTGACTCGATCGTTCGTCACATCCGTGCCGCCTCCTCAAAAGGTAATAAAGTACTTACTTTCTGTTTTCCTGGTGCCCGTGTGAGAAATATTTCTACACAGATTCCAACTACCCTGGGCGCTGCCGAGAGCCCTGGTGCCGTTGTCTTTCACGTGGGGACAAATGACACCGGGCTCCGGCAGTCGGAGATCCTGAAAAAGGACTTCAGGAGCCTGACGAGACGGTTCGACGCACCTCGCCCGCCACGCAGATCATAGTTCTGGGCCGCTTCCTACCTACCGCCGAGGAAATGAAAGGTTCAGTAGACTTTTAGCTCTGAATGAATGGCTATTAACATGGTGTAAAGAACAGAAATTGCTCTTTGCTAATAACTGGAATCTTTTCTGGGAGCGTCCTAGGCTCTTCCGTGCTGACGGCTTGCACCCCAGTCGAGCCAGAGCTGAACTCCTGTCGGACAACATCTCCAGATTACTTCGCACCATCTGACTAGCAGGTAAAAATTTACAAAATTCACATCATGGCCACCTAGACTCTTGTTCACCCCACTCAAACATCAGTAATGCATATCTGGCGAATCCTATAGAGACTGTGTCTGTTCCTCGTATTATTAGATTAAGAAATAAACGTACTGTGTGCTCCAGAAAAAATCTATTAAGAATCAAACCAGAAAAACTGGTTAAAAGTGAAAATACAAATTTCGTAAAGCTTGGTCTCCTTAACATCAGGTCACTTGCACCTAAAGCACTTATCATAAATTAAATAATAACAGAAAACAATCTTAATGCACTCTGTCTCACTGAAACCTGGCTGAAACAAAATGACTATATTAGCTTAAATGAAGCAACTCCTCCAGGATTCTTATATAAACATGAGGCTCGTCAAACTGGTCGTGGTGGTGGAG